TCTGGGAGGACATCTATAGACACCCTCCCAGAACCAGCCAACATTTCATTGTAGTGCAGTCTGTAAGTGGTTAACCTACCAACATGTCTTTGGAGTGTGGGAGGAAACCCATGCAAACTCCAGGCAGGTAATGTTATGGTCAGGATTTGAACTGATGACTCTAGTACTACCAGGCAGAAGTACTAACTGCTAAGCCATTGTGCCACCTATTATGTTAGTACGCAGAGTTGTAGTCCCAGTGGTTACAGTGGCATAACAAGGGAACAAAACATCAATGATTTCACTGTTGCAGTGGAAGTGGTTTGCCTAAGAGACCACTAAGTGGCAAATAAGGACATTGATGACAGACCTGAAGATTATACATGTCAGCAATGGCAACTGTCATTTTTCTGTCTAGAGAGGTTTGTTAAAGGCAATCTGAGATGATGTAACAATAGGTTCCTTACCTTGAAAAAAATGTTCATGCAGTTTGATGTGAAAAAAAATACTAAGATACCATTCACACCATAATGCAGTGAACTGCAACAGCCCAATCAAAACAAATAAGCTAAACACACAGAAACAAGCAAAAATGGGGCAAGCTCCATTTTTTTTGCACTGCAATGCAGATGACACTATAGCAGGGGTGGGCAAACTTTTTGACTTGAGGGCCGCAATGGGTTCATATATTGGACCCGGGGGCCGGACCAAGAGTAGATGAATGATGTGTATGTGTCATCCATAGTAAGTATAGTAATATTCCCCCATAGTAAGCATAGTAATTAATCCCCCATATAGTAATTCATCCCCCATATAGTAATTAATCCCCCATATAGTAATTCATCCCCCATAGTAATTCATCCCCCATATAGTAATTCATCCCCCATAGTAATTCATCCCCCATATAGTAATTCATCCCCCATATAGTAATTCATCCCCCATAGTAATTCATCCCCCATAGTAATTCATCCCCCATATAGTAATTCATCCCCCATAGTAATTCATCCCCCATATAGTAATTCATCCCCCATAGTAATTCATCCCCCATATAGTAATTCATCCCCCCATATAGTAATTCATCATCCCCCATAGTAATTCATACCCCATAGTAATTCATCCCCCATATAGTAATTCATCCCCCATAGTAATTCATCCCCCATATAGTAATTCATCCCCCATAGTAATTCATCCCCCATATAGTAATTCATCCCCCATAGTAATTCATTCCCCATAGTAATTCATCCCCCATATAGTAATTCATCCCCCATATAGTAATTCACCCCCCATAGTAATTCATCCCCCATATAGTAATTCATCCCCCCTATAGTAATTCATCCCCCCTATAGTAATTCATTCCCCATATTAATTCATCCCCCATATTAAGTCCCCAAGTCCCCCCTGTGTCAATTCACTTACCTTTGCTCCGCGCAGTCCTCTTGCCGTGTTCCCGCGCCGTTCCGGTCTTCAGGGCGGACTGTGAGAGGAGCCTAGCTACCCTCCCCTCACGTTCGTCACGCTGCCCCGCCTACACACATCTTGACAGCCACATCCGCGGGACGGATTAAAAGGTCCGCCGGGCCGTATACGGCCTGTGGGCTGTAGTTTGCCCATTGCTGCACTATAGAGACTTACTAAAACTGGTACACACAGAATCTGGTGCAGCTGTGCAAAGTAACCAATCAGCTTTTAGGTTTTATTGTCAAAGACTAATTGAACAAGCTGAAGTTAGCAGTTTTAGTAACGCTCCATGGTGTCCTCTGCATTGCAGTGCAAAAAAAAATAGAGCTTGCCCCATTTTTGCGTGTTTTTCTGTGCATTTTAGTAACTCTCTCCCCCCCCTCGCATGTGTTTTGCAACACTATGCTGGTGGTGCATTGGGGTGCCATTTACAATGCAGTGCAGTGACCCTAACATAAACATACTGATACAAACTAGCTGAATTAGGACATTGAGTTACAAAGAGCAATTCCTCGGTCATCCAAGCTGAAATAATGTGGGTATCTACTTTGTGGAGCCAGATTTTGACAAACATCTTTATATTTGTGGGCCAGGTCACACCATAGAAATGCAGTCCAGTTCCTTCCTGGATGTGTTTCTGCATGTTTGTTTTTGACACTTTTTGATGCATTCCAATGCGTTTTGATGCATTCTGGTGCATTTTTTATCCTCTTTTTTTCCTTCACCTTAAATATGGACATGTGAATTCCAGTGCATGTTTGGTGCATTTAGGTGCTTGTTTCTTGTTCTGTTGCGGTTTTGATGCATTTGACCATTTTCCAGTATATTTCATTGCAGAACAAAAATGCAGCATACTTTTGTTTCTGGAATTGTAACACACTGGAATTGACTGCACTGGTGTGAACTATGCCTTTGGAAACTATATAACCTACTATCCATGTATTTTTGACGCAGAAAAAAAGTACACTGGACTGCATGTGGTGTGAACCGGTCCTGTATCTTTGCTAACAGCAGTGGTAAAAATTATTCCCATTCCAACACAGTGGATGTTTTCTGGGATATCCAGTAACTGGCAATAGATTTTCTGGTATGTCAAAAATTTATACTTAGGCTGGTCATACATTTTATACATTATACAATTATCTTCCAATTTTCTGCCCAATTTCCTTTAGATTTACCTTCAACTGTGTAGTGCAAGGGCCTGCCTAATTGGATACAACTGAAAGTGTTGTTTAGGTTTGTCCTCCTATTATATGGTTTTTGGTAAATCTAAACCAAAAATCTCCAGATAATTGTATAATGTATGGCCAGCCTTAGAGCATTTGGCGAGTTGTTTTAATTGAATTAGAATTCAGAGTTTGTGTTGAATCCAATATGAAAAAGTTTGATGATCCAGATGATACATGTTCTTATGAAATCCTGTGGTTTTTGTTATAATTACGCCTGTTTCCTGTTATCTTCCTACAACAAATTGTTGTCTTGAAGAACTAAGATTATGCTGATACTGCATTTTTTAAATATGACATATGTTGCTGAAATTGTGACAAGTAAGGATTTATTTTGCTTTTATAGGCATATGAATAAAAGTAATGTTTATTTATCTCAAGATCTATGTTTTGTACACTGTGCTTCACAAAAAAAATTACCCTTTAACAACAGTCCCTGTTCCCTAGAGGACCTCACTATCTGATGTCCCTTCACAAGAGGAGAAGGAATAGGAGTCAAACACTTTGGGAGTAGGAACAGAAATGACTGGGAGGAAGTATCCTAACAGTAACCTACCAATATGTTACCAGTATGTATTATTCTGGGAGGAAACACAGAGCACCTTGAGCAAACCCATGCAGACATGGGAAGAGCATGCAAGCATCACACATAAAGTATCCTAAGTGGAAATCAAACTCTGGACTGTAGTATTCCAATTGGCCTACATGCTGCTCTTTAAAGGGAAGTTTTGAGAAAACCTGAGACTGCCATTGCGGACCTCCCTACACTGACTGATTCTGTCACTAACAGTAGCATATATGGACCAAGGGTGGGTTTTAAAGGAACTCTGTGTCACCTTGCCCCAAAGGGGCAACATGCAGGGGCGGACTGACCATTTGGAAACTCGGGCACTGCCCGAGGGCCCGGGGTCAGTAGGCGGCCCCATGAGATGCCCCTGGTACCTTTTTCATAGGCTTTTTTGAGTTTGGGCAAGGACACAGGTGCCCCATGATCCCCTATTGCCAGGGGGCCCATTGAGTTGTCAGTCCGCCCCTGGCAACATGTCAGAGTCCTTGAAAACTATACTTTTTTTTACTTGGAAAAGGTTTGTATTTTTGTCCATCTATTTCTAAAACTGACCTTACACTTTGCAAAATTCCTCCAGTTCCTGATCAAGTGGCTGAAATTTTGTACATGGGTGGCCCTATTAGCCCTCCAGCTTGACATGCTCCAACTGGAACATGGAAGGAGCAGGATGGAAAATGTGCATCTGAATGGTGGCTACAGCCATTCAGATGCAAGAGGCAAAGCTGGAGATTTGTCCAAAGTGTTAATGAGGAATCATGCAGCCAGCTTAAGACTCAAGCCCAATACACATGATGAGAATACTCTCTCAATCAGAATGGAAACATGAACTGGAGCTAGCTTTTATGAGAGATGAAATATATTCCTTTGATCTGCTGATATACTTCAAAGCTTCCAGACACATCGGAACCACCTCTGGTCTCCCACTGTGTCATGAAGCCGAACTGTCTTGAGCCTTTTCCTTCCAGATTTCCTAGAAGGTGACAAATCTTATTGGCATCCAGGTTTCACCTCCTTCCAGCTTTGTCCATTTCAGATGCTAATTGGTGACCATATGTCTCTGACTGAATCCTGACTCCATCTTATTATTAACATGGAATGCTAAATCTACATTGTCATATTTTCTACAGCTACTCAAATATTTACATTTATGTCACACTGATCTCTTTTTTTCAGCCCCCCCCCCCCCCCCCCCCTCTATGTGCCTGACCTTCAAATGTCCTCCAGTTGCCCATATCTCCCATTTCTATCATAGTTACTTCCATTCACTATCATTAAGGAATCTCTGCCTGGTCCAAACTGCATAATCATATCTATCTCATGAAAGTGACTGGGTGGAAACTCAAGCCCCCTTTGGTGTGAAAACTATCCAATATTAACCACTTGCCCTCCAGAGGATTTACCCCCCTTCCTGACCAGGCCATTTTTTGTGATATGGTGCTGTGTTACTTTAACTGACAATTGCACGGTCATGCAATGCTGTACATAAATGAAATGTATGTTCTTTTTCCCCACAAATAGAGCTTTGTTTTGGTGGTATTTGATCACCTGTGCATTTTTTATTTTTTGTGCTATATACAAAAAAGGCCGACAATTTTGAGAGAAAAATATTTTTAACTTTTTGCTATAAAACATGTCCAGTAAAAAAAATTTAAAAAATCTAATTTTATGTGAAAGTTATAGCATCCACAAATAGCAGTATATATACTGGAATTTTTATTTTTATTTTTTTATACTAGTAATGGCGGCTATCAGCGAGTTATATCGGGACTGTGGGACTGCGGCAGGCATTCTGACACTGGGTGGGAACTGACTAACTGCCACTGGCATTCCCAATGACACTAGTACAGTGATCAGTGCTAATAAAAAGCACTGACACTGTACTAATGACACTGGGCAGGAAGGGGTTAACATCTGGGGTGATTAAAGGGTTAACTGTGTGCTGTTTTACTGTACGTGCTGTGTGTGTTTTACTAGGGAAATATGCTTCCTTGTATTGCTCTGCTATGCAGAGAAATACACAGCAGCATATTATTGCTGGCAGGAGAGAGACCTGTGTTATTTACACAAAGGTTTCTCCCCTGTCACAGTTTCTCGGCGATCGCCGGGTGCTCGCAGGGAATCTCTGGCTGGGACCCAGTGATAGACATCTGTAGCCGCCAATGGCATGCGCGCCTCCTGCCCGGAGATACAAAATCACGTATATATATATATATATACGTGATTTTGCGCAGCCCTGCCACCCTGTAGCAGTATTTCTGCTATAGGTTGGCGGGGAAGTGGTTAATTACATTTCTTTTTGCTATTTGTATTCATTAGGGTTGATTTACTATAGGCAAACAGACTGTGCACTGTGCAGGTGAGGTTGTTCCAGAGCATTGTAAATAACATGAAGCTTCATTTTGCAAAGAATACCCAATTACAAGGAAGGAAAATAATGTAAAAATAAAAAGCAGCATTTATGCTTGCACGTGATTGGATGATGGAAGTCAAAAGAGCTTCCCCTTATTCACTAAGCTCTTGAGCAACTGTTTGCTTTTAGTAAATGTATTATTTATTTATTTCAGGTACTTATATAGTGCTGTCAATTTACGCAGCGCTTTACATATATATATTGTACATTAACATCAGTCCCTAACCCTCAAGGGATGTACAATCTAAGGTCCCTAACTCACATTCATACTTACACATACTAGGACCAATTTCTTTGGAGTGTGGGAGGAAACCCACGCAGGCACAGGGAGAACATGCAAACTCCAGGCAGGTGGTGCCGTGGCTGGGATTCAAACAAGTGACCCTAGTACTGTCAGGCGGAAGTGTTAACTATTTAGCCACTTCAGGGACCCAACACGGACCTGTTAACTGGCCTCCACCTATTCACCTGCCACCTACAGACCAATGAACAATCTTATTTATAATGTGTAACATTTGGCCTTAACATACTAACAAAGGTCCATGAAGAAAACCTTTATATTTCTTGAGAAACAAAAGACAATCTTCTTGAGACACAAAAAACAATCGACGTGTAAAAACCAGACCTGTTTTTCAAACCTACATACTTTTGTCCATATCTCATAATAATTTCCTATAAATATATAAATGGCATACTACCAGGGGCAGACTGACCATTTGGAAACTCGGGCACTGCCCAAGGGCCCGGGGTCAGTAGGGGGCCCCATGAGATGCCCCTGGTACCTTTTTCATAGGCTTTTTTGAGTTTGGGCAAGGACACAGGGGCCCCATGATCCCCTATTGCCTGGGGGCCCCATGAGTTGTCAGTCCGCCCCTGCATACTACTGTATTTTCTATTGAGCAATGTCATTTCATATACCTTTACTTCCTGGAACGCTGGATCTGCCTCCTGGAACATGTGATAGGAACTTCACAGAATGCATTTGTTAGGCCAGTGAGGACAAGGTTAACTCACCAGTTCCTTACTCAACTCACTCAGGAATTGGAAACAGAGTAATTGAAAGCAAACTAAATATATGTTTGTTTAGATAATTAACATAAGATGCTTCCCTATCAGTGTGCAGAGCTGTATGCTACTGTGATTAGGGGGAAAGGTCCACTTAAGTGCACATATTGTTGTGGAGATTAGATTATATGAAAGACTATATTGTTTATGTTGTTAATTTTAACAACAAATAAATTAACGAGGAAGGGTTGGAACTATTGTAGGATTTTATTGTTGTTGAATACCTTTACCCATTCTGTCCAAAGCTAAAAAAAAAAAGTTTTTGGACACAGTTGCACTTTAAAGTTTTAGGGAATGCTATCATTTCATTTCCATGTGGGAATGACCTTTTACAACAAGGACTGCTTTAGAATTCAGGTACATCTGTTTATTTTGCCACTGGCTTTATCCTCTTTTTGTGGGAATTGTTGTACAAAAAACGAAATGTGCTGATTAAAAAAAATGCAGCTTTTAATATAAAATAAAAATATTTGGTCCACAGTGATCTGCCAGGCAAGGTTTCAATAATTTCCACATTTTGAGCAAAAATAAATTATAGAAATTGTGGTGTGGTCAAATTCTAACCCAATTTCAATTCTTTGAAAATTCAAAGAATTGACATATTGTTGGTTTCAATGCAGTATAATAGGTGTAGTCAGTGGAGATACTGCTAGGGCTATGTATGTGTCATTGAGTCTCAATTGCAGTTTCTCATGAAAGTATTTTTTGTTTTTAATATACTTTTTATTTTGCAAAATGATATAAAAAAATCACATAAAATGATACAATGTTTCAATTAAGCACAGTGCATGGGTAACCAGTGTCAATATAAGAAACATTTTAGCTATTTAGCTATATTTTGTATCTAACAAAAAAGGATACTGGAATAACTAGGTGTTACCAATAATGTATATGCAATTCTTTTAAATATTTAAAAAAAGTTGTGTGATATTGGCTAATACAAATGTTACAATGGTGGGAGGGGGAGAGGTTCAGTATCATCACTGAAGAATGAATATCCCTAAAAAGGTAATCAATAGATATCCAAGAGCGTTTTTCTTGGAATTTTGGTGAGATGAGACTTATCCCCACTGTGTTACATATTGATGATTCCGGAATGCGATCTGAATTCAATTTAATATTGTTGCTTTGCCTGCATCACATCTGATAAGTTTTGTAAGACTAGCTGCACATATCTTCTAATTGTACTGCCTTATGGAAGTTGACCTCCAGGCAGCATTCAGTCCGAAAATCATTAAATGTATTTAAATGCATGTAGTATAAGTACCCAGATCTATCTTTATATTAGCCTACTGTAATCTCCTTTACAGCAGCTCTTAGGCTGAAGAGTGTTACAATTACCTACTCTGATCCCATACTGTGCAGAGATTTTTCAGTTCTAGGACAACACTGTAAGCACCACCATAATGAGAGTGGTCATCACTGGGGCAAGTTAACAATGCAGTTAACATTATACATACACATAAAGTCACAGCGTGAGGAAAGTACTACCAATAACCGGCAACTGTGAAAGGATTAATCTACACTCAGTGCCCTAATTATTAGTGCAGCCCCAACAGGTGCCCATCAGTGTCCATCAGTGCCCATCAGTGCTGCCCATCAGTGCTACCAACCTGTGCCCATCAGTGCCACTAGTCAGTGCCATCAGTCAGTGCCACCAGTCGGTGCCCTTCAGTGCTGCCTATTACTGCCCATCAGACCTACCTATCAGTGTCCATCAGTGCTGCATATCAGTGCCTCCTCATCAATGTCCGCCAGTGCTGCCTCATCAGTGCTGTCTTATTAGTGCAACCTATTAGTGCCAGTTCAAAAGTGCTGCCTATCAGTGCAGCCTCATCAATGCACATCAGTGAAGGAGAAAATGTACCTGTTTGCACAATTTTATAATACACTGCTCAAACAAATTAAAGGAAAACGTTTTAATCAGAGTATAGCATCAAATCAGTTAAACTCCTGGGATATTGATCTGGTCAGTTAAGTAGCAGAGGGGGTTGTTAATCCGTTTCAGCTGCTTTGGTGTTAATGAAATTAACAACAGGTGTACTAGATGGGCAACAATGAGATCACCCCCAAAACAGGAATGGTTTTACAGGTGGAGGCCACTGACATTCCCTACTCATCTTTTCTGACTGTTTTTCACTAGTTTTGCATTTGGCTATGGTCAGTGTCACTACTGGTAGTATGATGCGATACCCGGACTCTTCAGAGGTTGCACGGGCAGTCCAACTCCTCCAGGATGGCACATTAATACGTGCCATTGCCAGAAGGTTTGCTGTGTCTCCCAGCACAGTCTCAAGAGCATGGAGGAGATTCCAGGATACAGGCAGTTACTCCAGGAGAGCTGGACAGGTCCGTAGAACATCCTTAACCCATCAGCAGGACCAGGATCAGGCTCCTTTGTGCAAGGAGGAACAGGATGTGCACTGCCAGAGCCCTGCAAAATGAACTTCAGCAGGCCACTGGTGTGAATTTCTCCGACCAAACAATCAGAAACAGACTTCATGAGGTTGGCCTGAGAGCCTGATGCCCTCTAGTGGGCCTTGTGCTCACTGCCCAGCACCATAGAGCTTAATTGACATTTGCCATTGAACACCAGAACTGGCAGATTCACCACTGGTGCCCTGTGCTTTTCACAGACAAGAGCAGGTTCACCCTGAGCACATGTGACAGACATGAAAGCGCCTGGAGAAGCCATGGAGAATGTTATGCTGCCTGTAACATCATTCAGCATGACCATTTTGGTGGTGGGTCAGTGATGGTCTGGGGAGGCATATCCATGGAGAGACACACAGGGCCTCTACAGGCTAGACAATGGCACCCTGACTGCCATTAGGTATCGGTATGAAATCCTTGAACACATTGTCAGTCCCTTACGCTGGTGCAGTGGGTCCTGGGTTCCTCCTGGTGCATGACAATGCCCGGTCTCATGTGGCGAATGTATGCAAGCAGTTTCTGGAGGATGAAGAAATCGACACCATCAAATGGCCCCCACGCTCGCCTGGCCTAAATCCAATAGAACACCTCTGGGATATCATGTTTCGATCCATCCGATGCTGCCAAGTTGCACGTCAGGAGCTCAGTGATGCCCTGGTCCATATCTGGGAGGAAATACCCCAGGATGCCATCCATCATCTCATTAGGAGCATGCCCCAACATTGTCTGACATGCATGCAAGCATGTGGGGGATATACAAACTACTGAGTACCATTTTGAGTTGCCGCAATGAAATTTCAGCAAAATGGACTAGCCTGCTGCATAATTTTTTCACTTTGATTTCCAAGGTGTCTTAAAATCATTCCTCTGTAGGTTGATAATTTTCATTTGCATCAAACGAT